TTAACCTCTTTCAAAATTAAAACGTAGTTGAGACGTATCCTTAGAATAGACCCGGACTTCATGTCACCGGGTTTTCCCTTTGCTGGAAACTGATGTGCAAGGCTCCGAGTAATTGCTACTACTTGACAGAGGGTTGACATGGGGGTTTGAAATGGGATGCTGCTATTGGAAAAAGGGGAGTGGGATAGGGTATGCATACCCCACCCTCTTTCAAAATTAAAACGTAGTTGAGACGTATCCTTAGAATAGACCCGGACTTCATGTCACCGGGTTTTCCCTTTGCTGGAAACTGATGTGCAAGGCTCCGAGTAATTGCTACTACTTGACAGAGGGTTGACATGGGGGTTTGAAATGGGATGCTGCTATTGGAAAAAGGGGAGTGGGATAGGGTATGCATACCCCACACTAAGCCAAAATGCGGAAGTCCTAGACCCGCTGACCTGCAACCTAGGGCTCTCTTATAGACTCTGGCCACTTAGCATAAACAATGTGCATTTCTTTTTCAGATGCTTTTTTCCCAAAGACCTCCTACGTGACTGTGATTCGCCTGACACTAAACCTGTTGGTTCTTGCTTTTTTCATTCCTTGTGCTATTTATTATTTGTGGAAGCAAAGCAAAGACACAGGTAACGGGGACCATACGGATGTCGTCAGACGACTCTCTTTGAAAACGAGAGAGGGTGGGGGTGTAGCGGGATTAACAGAGGATTTCAGGACGATAGTCGACTTTGTGCTTTCTGTTCACTGGGGATAATTCATTAACTGTGGGAGGGTTATTTGGAAGCTCTGTGTCTTTGTCAGAGAGACAAGAGCCTTCTGATGGTGAAACTCTTCCCTCTGGAAGAGCAATCTTGACACAATGTCAGAGGTGGACAAACGTACCGGCCCTCTAAGGCACATATAGTAATTTTCCGAAGTTCGGGGCTTGGGGCTTCTGCATGGTGGGGCACACCTGCCAGGGCTCCTACCCTGTGGGGGGCAGTGGGGCTAGGGGATTCTGCACCACAGGAGGTGCCTGCCGGGCTGCGGAGTGGACCGCCTCGCTTCACCTCTGGGCAAGATGCAGAGGGCAGGCTCCATGCTCCTAGAACAGTGTTTCTTCAACTTTTTAAGACCAAGGAACACCAAGGATTTTTGGTTGAGAAAAAAAAAAGGTCGGGGGGAAAGGGGTCGGGGGAAGTTATTGAGTCAAAAAAAAAAAAAAGGTTGCCTGCCCCTTTAAGGGTGGCCATTTTGAATTCTGTTGCTCTTTGCGGCACACCTCCAACTGCCTCGGTACTACACAACACAGTTGAAGAAACACTGTCCTAGAAGATCCCCCTCCATGTTGGACAGAAATCTCTAGGTCCATCACCCCACTGCAGGGCAAAAGCCCCACTGCCCCTCTTATTCTGGAAGATGGAGAAGGGTGAGTGTGGGAAGGTCTGCAGAAGGTGTTGGGAAAAAAATCATTTCAGCTTCCAAGTTTTATTATGAAATGGAAATAGTAAAAAATCATGTTTATACTATTTGAATTTCTCCCCTTCCTATCCCTTTGGCGTATGAATGAAAACCAGAAGATGTAGGCACTGCCTGGAGTGACATACACATAATGAAACCAAACTGAATACCGATTTTTGGTATGGAAAGTGATCCAAGCATACTTCCACTTACCACGAGATTTAAAAAACAACAAGTCTTTTAACCTTTTTTTTTTTTTGGTCTCTGGTTAATTCTAAATTACCTTCCCCCTAAAGTATGTCTGTTTCTATCACAAACATAGCAAAAATCAGTCAAAATGTCCCCATAAATATGAAAGGCTGACATCTAATATGTCTGATCTTATCCTTCCAATAGATAAACTGCGCTCACAGTTGAAAAATTTGGAAGGTAAGTCTCTGGGTTGTATGGCACAAGTGAACTGTCTGATATTGTCCATGAAATAAAGTAAATGAAAACCACAACATTTATATCATGTAATCTCTAGCAGGAACATGGTTTAAGCCTGTTCCCTTTTCTCTCTCCAGTGCTTGTGGAACTGACACACCTAAGTTTGCAGCTGATCCCAAGCTGGAAGGGGTTGCGAGTGCTTTAGAGTCAGGGTCAGAATTCAAAATGACCTGGACACACTGGAGAAATGGTCTGAGGTCAATAGGATGACGCTGAATAAGGACAAATGCAAAGTGCTCCACTTAGGAAGGAACAATCCGTGTCACACACATAGAACGGACAGTGACTGACTTTCTAGGAAGGAGTCCTGAAGAAAGGGATCTAGGGGTCAGAGAGGACCACAAGCTAAATAGGTGGCAATGGCGTGACACCATTCCAAAAAAAGCAAACCTGATTCTGGAAGGCATTAGCAAGAGTGTTGTGAGCAAGACACGAGAAGTCATTCTTCCGCTTTACTCTGTGCTGATCAGGCCTCAGCTGGAGTCTTGTGTCCAGTTCTGGGCTCCACATTTCAGGAGGGATGTGGAGAAATCGGAGAAGGTCCAGAGAAGAGCAACAAGAACGATGAAAGGTCGAGAGAACAGGAGCTAGGAGGGAAGGCTGAAGGAATTGGGTTTGTTTAGTTTGGAAAAGAGAAGACTGAGGGGGGACACGAGAGCGGTTTTCAAGTATCTAAAAGGGTGTCACAAGGAGGAGGGAGAAAAATTGTTCTTGGCCTCTGAGGACAGGACCAGCAGCAATGAGCTTAAACTGCAGCAAGGGAGGTTTAGGTTGGACATTAGGAAAAAGTTCCTGCCTGTCCGGGTGGTCAAACACTGGAATAAATTGCCCGGGGGGTTGTGGAGTCTCCATCCCTGGAGATATTGCAGAGCAGGTTGCACACACACCTGTCAGGGATGGTCTAGATCCGTCACGTCAAATTGGAGTTTGAGAGGTGGAGGGCGGGGGAGATGCAGCCTGATAGAAATTTTTTGTGGCCCCTATAAAAGAATGAAGTGCAACCCGCTGGCAGCTCAGAGCCCATGGCCGAGTACTTGCTCTGGGCTCTCCACCAGGTGCTCACAGCCAGGAGTGGCCCTAGATGAGCTGCCGGCAACTATTTTGTTGAATTCTGTTGCTCTTTGCGGCACACCTCCAACTGCCTCGGTGCTACACAACACAGTTGAAGAAACACTGTCCTAGAAGATCCCCCTCCATGTTGGACAGAAATCTCTAGGTCCATCACCCCATTGCAGGGCAAAAGCCCCACTGCCCCTCTTATTCTGGAAGATGGAGAAGGGTGAGTGTGGGAAAAACCCCTCTGTTCTTTCAATTTTCTTGTGGAAGAACGTAATTGCAGTGTGGATGTTCCTCAAGTTTTGTTGGAAAAATGGCCGTTTTCCCGACAAAACTCTGTAGTGTAGACATAGCCAGAATGCTGAATGGAAAGCAACAGGAAAGGCAGAAAGAAAAATCTTCAGCCTATGTACAGCTGTGTAAACAGTGTGGGAGATCGAACCACTTCATGTCCTAATGCTTGAACCTATGACAGGAAGAAAGAAGCAGTAGGACCTACAGAGATTGGTGGGAATGTAGAGACTTACAAGGAAGAGAAGGAAAACTACAGGGTGACTTCAGTAGAACCATAGGGTCTCAATATACACATACTACAGAAGGTGGCTGCTAGCTGTACGAATTCCATATTTGTAACTATGATATTAGTTACATAACTAATTTGATTTCAACTGGATTATCAAAATAGATAATCCGGTTATCTAATGTAGATAGATCCAGTTATCTATCTACAGTTATGTAGAATCAGCTGTCATGGAATCACAGTAACCCCGATAAACAGCTGTATTCAGTTGGAGAAATGTGATCAGGTGCTGATGATGTACCATTCTGAGGCTAGTGGGCAAAAGAAGGCTACTGATTTTTAAAAAAAACCCACACACCATTTGGAGACACATCACTATTTGGAGTTTGTAGTAACTGACACATAGGAGTACAACCCTCTGCTAGGCGGCAGGGCAGAGAAAGCCATGCACAGAACCAGAATATTCTCAGTGTGAGTGAGGAGGGAGAACAGTCACCTGGCCTTGACTAGCATTCTAACAGAATATAAAGACATCTTTTAAGGAGATGGACACTTATAAAGCAAGCACAATTTAGAAACAGAACCCAACGTGTGTGTTGAGCTAGTTTAATAAGGACAAATGCAAAGTACTCTATTTAGGAAGGAACAATGTGTTTCGCATACAGAATGGGAAGCGACTGTCTAAGGAGGAGTACTGCAGAAAGGGATCTAGGGGTCATAGTGGACCACAAGCTAAATATGAGTCAATGGCGTGACACCATTCCAAAAAAAACAAACCTGATTTTGGGCGGCATTAGCAAGAGTGTTGTGAGCAAGACACGAGGAGTCGGCTGATCAGGCCTCAGCTGGAGTCTTGTGTCCAGTTCTGGGCACCGCATTTCAGGAAAGACGTGGAGAAATTGGAGAGGGTCCAGAGAAGAGCAACAAGAACGATGCAAGGTCTAGAGAACAGGAGCTAGGAGGGAAGACTGAAAGAATTGGGCTTGTTTAGTTTGGGAAAGAGAAGACTGAGAAGGGACATGAGAGCCGTTTTCAGGTATCTAAAAGGGAGTCACAAGGAGGGGGGAGAAAAATTGTTCCCCTTGGCCTCTGAGGACAGTACGAGAAGCAAGGGCACATCAGGCACATCAAACTGGAGTTTGGAGGGGAGGGGGGGAGATGCAGCCTGATAGAAATTTTTTGTGGCCCCGAGAACATTTTTATAAAAGAATGAAGTACAACCCGCTGGCCGCTCAGAGCACGTGGCCGAGTACTTGGCTCTCCACCAGGTGCTCACAGCCAGGAGCGGCCCTAGATGAGCTGCCGGCAACTATTTTGTTTTTTATTTATTTATTCCCAAATAAAATCACAAAATGTATATTCATTTTATATCAATAAATGTCAATTTTTTGCAATTGAATGAATAATTATAGCTTTATGCAAAATCTCAAACTTACAAAGTATCTGAAATTTTCACAGAAGCCTGTTCTATTCCATTGACCATGGTCTATACTTTTTATTTCAACAAAACAAGTTATGTATCATATACAGATTTTGAAAGTACCTTACATTTATATTTAAATTGAAAGTTATGTAAGATTAATTTTAAAATTATTTAAGATGAGCAAATAACAATTTTACACCTCAAATTAATGTAATATTCTAAAATATACCTAAAACGTAATCTATACTAATATATAACTACAACTTTCTGACAAAGTACATTTTCTTTGGTGGCCCTAGCGTTGTCTTGTGACCTGTATTCTGCCTTTTTTTTTTTTCCTCTTGACAAACCATCTGGGAACCGTAGGTGGCCCTGAAAGCTATCAGTTTTCATTTGTGCAGCCTTCAGTCGGCTTCGAGTTTGACCTTGAGGTCCCTTTCGGGTTAGTGTTCGGGGATTGTGGGATTCTAAGTGGGACAGAACCCCACACCCAGAAGCTGTGTGGGTTCCAAAAGCTTTTCCAATTTTCTATCTCATATTGTCCTGAATCATTTTGGCATCATTATATGAGATAACGGCAGGACTATCACCAAAACTAGGACAAGCTGGAGTCTCATGTTTCATTCTCCTCTTCCTCTAGAGAACCAACGATTTCAAGTGGAGAAAGAGAAAGGTAAAGAGGTGGGGCAGGAGTGGGGGTCTGTGGGAAGGGGTGGAGTGGCAGGGTAGAGTGGGTGTCACCACCCACAAGGGAATTAGGATCAACACATTGTTTCTAGCCCCCTTAAACCTTATTTTGTTTTAAGTGGTAAAAGGGTGAATGCATCTTTTAACCACTCATCAACTAAATTAGATGTTATGTAATTAAACTAATTAAAATGGCAGTAAACACAGAGCTAGAGGGTTTTTTTTTCCACTTTCTTTCCAGTATTACTCATTTCTGGTCTTGTTTTTCGTTTGTTTCAGAACACTATCTTGCATCATTCCGTAAGTTTCATTTTCTTCTCTTACTATGAGTGAAGACAGAATATTCCTGCCATTATAAGCATGGGTCTCTCCCCTTTTTTAATACACTGTACCAAGTGAAAGGTATTTTAGCTTTATACATAGATGCATGGTCTTTGGTCAGAGGAAATATGAATGAATTTGAGATTATTTGAGAGAAGGAACTTTTGAGCTCCACAACACAGAAAAACGGGTAGCGACCATAGTTTGAAGTCACAACATTCTCGTAAGGATTCTGATTTCTGATTTGGGTTTAACAACAAATTTTTCCCCTCCCCATAACATCAGTTCCAAGTTGTATTATGTGAGGACTGCATGTATTTGGACAAGTTTTCAGCTATTTTTGTATCTTTGTTTCAGTGCTCAGAAAAGCCCGAAGATTTTCAGGTAATTAAAATCGCCCTGCTACTAAAGACTTCTCTTTCAAAGAGGACTGCGCCCTTCTCTTCTCAAAATTATCTGAGTAAAATAGTATTGGTCATTATA